AAGTCACCGCTGTATATGCTGCCACAGATCTCTGCTTCTGTCTCCCACCAGATCACGTTTACTGGCTGTCAGACTGGGAGACATCAAGTGCTATGTGATAGGTCTTTTAAAAGTGATTAACAACCAACCCATGATGCTAGCAGCCCACAAGACTGTGCATTGAACAGGTCTGTGAGGACCAGCAAGTCAGAGGAAGAGTCCAGAAAGGAGGTCGTGGAGCTCTGCCGGTACCTAGCCCCGTCTAACCCCAAGAGAGACCAGAGGGCCTCTGGCAGGCCTGGTTGACAGCCTCAGGTAGAGTGCTGAGGCAAAAACCACAAAGGGTCTGAGTCCAAGAACCACAGTACAGACTCAATTTATGTTTCAGGAAGAGGAAGGGAGTGGGTAAGAAGAGAGGGAGAGAATCTGGGGAAAAGAAGGTGGGTGAAGGAAGGGTGGAAAATGCAACTGCGTTTTCTGCTTCTACAGCTGAGCGTGCCTGGACACGTCTGTGGAATTTCACAGTTTGGGGACCCAGGTGCCTTCCGAAACTACGATCATTTTTTATTAGGTGTCCTACACAACAACAGAAATCGTTATCTCCTGGTTGGGTGTGGGGTGCATTAGGCCTAGGACTAGCGTGCTAAGTTGGAACATTATCAAATCACAATCTTGAAGAAAGAAAGTCAAGGCTTCCTGGGACCTGGGCTGACCCCTCAGTCCCTCCACGGAAGCCATTTTGCTGGAGGCGGGGCTGTGAACACAAGTGGAGCATTTGCGGTTGGGGAGCACAGGGTCAGGAAGAAAAAGTGAGCCCTGAGTGCTGCTCAAGCCGAACGAGTCCCAGAGAAGGTTCAAGGCCCTCCTGGAAAAGCTTCGGTTTCTCTCTGACCCTTCTCAAAGGGGTCACTTTTGCCCCGAAGTAGCTCTAGTGGCTCCTCTCCTCCGAAAACCAAGGGCTTCCGCTGCTCTGCTCACCGCTACCAGCAGCCACCCACCCCCATTCCTTGAACTACGTGTGGCTGGGAACTGCACCCTCCCCCTTCTTTCCAGAGGAGTCCGCAGCTTCGCCTGAGGCCTCCAGGACCCGACTTACCCCGCCCCCGGGGTCATGCCATGTCCCAGGGGCCTTTGCAAGTTTGGAAGCTTGGTGGGAGCGGGTAAAGTCCACACCGAGGATGGGTGGGCGTCACTGCACTCCCCCCCCCCCCCCCCCCCACACACACACACACGGCTCAGCTGGTTCTCCCGCCGCCTAGCCTTAACCCTCGCCTGCAAGGCCTGACCCCGACCCAGCCCTGACAGGCTAGGCTGGCTCATCCCAGAGCCCACCCGGACCCCGGGTGGGGTCCCAGTGGCAGCTCCCCGCCCCCCACCCCCGCCCGCAGCCCTGCGCGCCCGCCCTGCACGCCCTCTGACGCAAACGGCTCTCCCCTGCCCAGCGCCTGGGAAAGCGCTCTTGTTGGCTTTAATTGAGGCTCTTCCTTTCACATACACACCCTTGGTCCCCACCCGGGGAGGCGACCCCCTCCCCGCCACCAGACCGCTAGCCGCGGCACGAGGAATCTGGCTGGGCTGCAAGGCTGCAGATCCTGGTGCTCTGCCGCCGCCGCCGCAGCAGCAGCAGCAGCTTCTCCACTTGGGAGAACGGTTTGATGTCCCTTTTAATCCGCTGACACTATCGCCCACATCAAACAGGCAGCCATCGATTGCGTTACATTAAGGGATCACATTACAAACGGCGCCCGCAGGTGGGCGGCAAGAGCCGAGCTCGCCAGGTCCTGGCCTCAGCCAGACAAGATGCGAGCACCAGAGCCAGCCCGCTGCACCGCAGCGAAGGCTCTGCACTGGCTAGGACGGCCAAGCGAATGCTAAGCTGGAGGGTCCACCGTCCCGCTTCCCCAGCGCCGGCAGCCGTTTCCCGCCGTAGCGGGGGCGGGGTAGTTTGGGAATAGTTGATCCAAATGGGAGAAACCTGTTTCGAATTTGAACTGATGATGGACTGGCAGGATTCTTACCTCCTAGGAGGCGACGCGGCGGGATAGAGGCCAGGCAAGGGCAACTCCGAACAGGCCCGGAGGAAAGTTCTCCTTTACCAGCCCTGGCTGCCTCGACTCGTGTCCCCCGCCTGCGTGAGAACCAAGACTGCCTCCCTGCCTGACCGTGTTACCAATCCCAAGTTCAAAAGAAATGATAATCATTGCGTTACTTGCCTGATGGGGTAGGACTTGGCCGAATCTCGCTTCTGGTGCCCACGACGCACAGTCCAGGGTTCCAGCGCGACTGGGCCTGCGGACCCGGCGTCCAGCAGGCCTCCGCTTCCCTGGCGCTGACTCCCGCTTCCTCTCCCACTTTCTCCTTTTCTCCGCGTTCTCTTTCCCTCTTACAGTCTCCCTCTCTATGCCTGCTCTCTCTGCTCTCGAACTCCCTGCCTCTAACTGGATGGGGATTTAATTTAAATTTCTACATATTTTTCTTTCTTTTTTTCACTCTTCCTTTATTTCCTCCTTTTTTTCCTTCTTTCTTTCATTTTTCTGTCTATTTGAATCAGGTTCGTTTCATCTTTTAACTGGCCAAGAACAGGAACACATTTATTTGGGCAAAGGGGCTAGGGCAAGGAGCCCCTGCCACCCCCGGTCGCCTCCTCTTCCTCAGCTTCGTACAATGGGCTGCCGCAAGCGGAGTGCCTTGGCAGTCTTTCCATTATTCGAGCTGGAGGGGCTGCGGGGCAGACAGGAGAAAGCCTTTATTCTGCTCTTTAAAATCATCACTCGTCACTAAACGGTCTACGACTCGCGACTTCACAGACTAGAGAGACCGAGAAGCGCAAAACGTACCCCAAACGCGCAGTGCTTCCCAAACCCCTCCCTGGTGAAATTTAAAGTGAGAACGAGTATTAAAAAACAAACCCTACCTCTGTCAACACAGCGTGGTCATTTACTTCCACCTTTACCTGAGGGCCTGTTGGAACTCGGAACGCTCGAGCTGAGTCAAACTTTTACGCTCTCCCCAGTCGAGGGGTGGGCGGGAAAGCGCGGCTCCCACCCCTGGCGGCAGCAACGCCGGCTTTGTCACTCCGCTCCGCTCCGCGCCCGCCTGAGCCTGTCTAGGGGAGAGATCTCAAAACGAGGGGGGTGCGAGTGTGGGATTGGAGAATATGTAACTAATAGAAGTATCATTTTCTCCCAGTACGATCTTTCAAGGAAAAAAAATCCATTGAAAGAATTTTCAAAGTGCTGTCTTCGTTTGGAGAAAAGGCACAGGCTGTCTGTGGGGAGGGGAGGAGGGACTCGGCTATGTGCCGCCCGGGAACGGCTCCCGTCCGCTAGGTGGCAGCCGGAGCCAGCGATTCCTGCAGGCCCCGCGGCGGGACCCGCTCCTCCCGCCTGCCCCTCCTTTTGCGACCAATCACCTTCGGGAATCAGGGTCTTAGATACTGCCCCCCCACACACCCCCACCCCTGCCTCCCTCTCCTTCTTGCTCTCCCTTCTCCTCCCCCTCTCCTCGTTCGTTTGCTCTTTTCCTGGGACTCCTGGCCGCTCTAACACCACCCCCCCAACAATATGATGACTTACTACTGTTTTATTAATAATTATTGACGCATTGTTTGGAGTTTGAAACAGCCTGGGATTTAAAAAAAAAAAAGGATGAAGATGGAAACAACGGTTTGATTGGAAAGTTTATTTTAAAATCATCTTTGGGATGAATAGGAACCGTTGATTCGGATCGAATTTGTGGCCATAGCTGTAAATTTCACGAGTGTGCTTGGTCATAATTAAATCTTTAAAACCAAGATATACTTTGGATCAAAAAGTAGGATGACCCTACCTTTTTTCTTAAAAAAAAAAAAAAAAAAAAGTGCATAAAATGAGCAAAACCCAGACTAGGATTTTGGTTATATGTAAAAGAAGAAAACAAACTAAATCCAGTATATTTCAGAAATTATTAAAATGATGAAGTTTTATTCCCATTAAATTTTTTCCTAACACTTTGAATGATTTTTATCTTCACCTTCATGAAATCTAATTCTAAAAACTTTTCAGAAGAAATAAAAATAATATCCTCATTCTCGTTTTTTCCCATCATAAGACATTCTCCCCCTTCATCCCTTCCCCCTCTGTGTGTGTGTGTGTGTGTGTGTGTGTGTGTGTGTGACCATAGACGACCCATACTAATCAGGTCTCAGAGTAAATAGCAGCGCAGGGTGATCTCAATGTAAATTGCGCTTGTCAGAAGCACACCCCCTCCCTCACTTTCTCTCCTCCTCCCCTCGCTATCCCAGACTGTAGGTAGCTAAGAGGGAGGGGAGAGAAAGAGAAAAAAAAAAAAAAAAAAAAGAAAGAAAGAAAAAAGAGGAGGGGGAGGGGCTCTCTAGCCAATGGCGTGCAGGAGGCTTGGCTAACCTTAGCCTCCCATTTTCTCTCCCCCCCGATTCAGGGCTCTGACCAGTCAGTCGCCTTTGATTATCAGTTGCCAGCAGCCCTTCTCTTGGCTCCTTGACACGAGCTCCATATAAGGCAGCGATCTCCATAGAAACGTGTCAGTTTCAATAGTAGTGTCAAAGTTCACTATATACAGACATTCGCGCAGATCCCCCTTTCGGAAACATTGCTCTGCGAGTCCTCCCGTTTAAACGCATTCAATTTTTGGGTTCTCTCTCTCTCTCTCTCTCTCTCTCTCCCCCCTCTCCCTCTTCTCTCTTGCTCTCTCTCTGTCTCTTTCTGTCTCTCCTATCGCCCTCTTTTTTCTCCTCTCTCCTCTCTCCCCTTTCTCTTTTCTTACATATTCTACTAGTTGTTTCCCCCTTCTTCTCCTTCTTTCTCTCATTTTTCTCCCTCCTCCTTGTCTCTTTTACTCCATTCCTGCAGAAGAGAGAGGGCTAAACTTAAAAAAAAAAAAAAAGAAGGAAGAGGAGGAGGAGGCACCCCCATTCGTATTCTTCTTATCTTTATTTTATACATATATGATTTTTTTTGGAGGGAGGGTGTTGGTTCCCGGCTGAAGAGCACTTATTTAAAATACTAAAAAAAGAACATTTTTGGGCGATCTCCAGGGTTTTTTTAACTAGCTCTGTGTGTTATAGCAGAAGAAGCAGAAGAAGGAGCAAGAAAGAGGAAAAGAAGATTATTTATTCGACCTACTTTGGATGTCTCTCTTGCTTTTTCTTTTTCCTTTTTTTGCAATTATTTTCTTCTGATTTTTATTTTTTTCTATTTCGCTGTGAATTCGTCGCCGGCGTGAATTATCTTGTATTTTTCTCCCCCTTCCGTCACCTCTTGAAAGAAGAAGGCAGCGAGAGCCCGGCGCCACCGGCACAACAAAAAGAGCAAAGTGTGTGATCTTCCTCGCCGGCTGCCTCCCGCTCTCCAGCGCTGCCTTCCTGAATGGCTGGCTGCGTCCGGCCCTGGACCTGGCCCCCCGACACCCGCGCTCCCTGATCGCCACCGGCAGCCTCGCCCGGCGTCCTGCTCGGCTCAGCCCGTTCCCAGCACTCCCGAGCCCCACGAGGGCTCCCACTGGGACAGCAGCGGCGGCGAGGGCGGTCCCGGCCTCGGCTCCCGCTCGGGCTACGGCCCCGACTCCAGCTCGGACTCCCGCCCGGGCCCGGGCTTCTCCAGCGGCGATCGCCGCAGCAGCTGAGGCGGTAGCTCCAGCGGCGCCTGCAGCCGCGACCTCCTCCTTTGCCGCCGCCGCCTCCGCCCTCGCCGGCTTCCTCTATGTCGGCTCAGCCCGCGCGCTGCGCGTAGCCCGAGCGGACAGCGGGCGGGCGGGCGCCCGGCGCGGGTGAGCGAGTGTGTGTGCGAGTGTGTGTGTGCGCGGGGGTGCGGGCAAGGCGGAGGGCGAGTGTGTGCGCGCGCCGTGGCCCATGCCCGCCGCCCCCGGCGCTGCGCCCCGCGCCGCTCCCGGCTGCCGCCTGTGCCATTTCTGATTTTGCAACTTGGGGAAGAAGAAAAAAGCGAGAGAAGGGAGCTTGCTCGCCGGGGGGTGGGGAGGGGGGAAGGAGAGCACGGCCCCCCCAGGAACGGAGCGCGGGGGGAGCGGGCGAGGGGAGCAGGGGTGTTGGGGGGGGAGCCTGAGAGCCTGGGGGGGCTGCAAAAAGAGAGAAAGAAAACAGCAGGAACCACAACAAAACGCCAGCAGGGCGGGCGGGCGCGCAGCAGCAGCGGGGCGGCCGAGGCAGTAACGGCGGCAGCGGCGGCAGCGGCGGAGGCAGCGGCCGGTGCCCGGCTCGGGCTCGGCTCCCGCGACCCCGGGGCGCCCGGTGGGCCCCCCGCCCCCTCCCCCTCCCCCCTTCCCCTTCCCCTTCCCCTCCCAGCGCGCCCGCGCGCCCCTCGGCCCTCGGCGAGCAGCTCGGCTCCCCCCAGCGCTCCCAGGGCCCAAAGATATGGCAATGGTAGTTAGCAGCTGGCGAGATCCGCAGGACGACGTGGCCGGGGGCAACCCCGGCGGCCCCAACCCCGCAGCGCAGGCGGCCCGCGGCGGCGGCGGCGGCGGCGCCGGCGAGCAGCAGCAGCAGGCGGGCTCGGGCGCTCCGCACACGCCGCAGACCCCGGGCCAGCCTGGAGCGCCCGCCACCCCCGGCACGGCGGGGGACAAGGGCCAGGGCCCGCCCGGTTCGGGCCAGAGCCAGCAGCATATCGAGTGCGTGGTGTGCGGGGACAAGTCGAGCGGCAAGCACTACGGCCAATTCACCTGCGAGGGCTGCAAAAGTTTCTTCAAGAGGAGCGTCCGCAGGAACTTAACTTACACATGCCGTGCCAACAGGAACTGTCCCATCGACCAGCACCACCGCAACCAGTGCCAATACTGCCGCCTCAAGAAGTGCCTCAAAGTGGGCATGAGGCGGGAAGGTGAATATTTCTTCTCTGCTTCTCTCCCCGCGCTTAGCCCGCTTTCCTGGCTCTCTCTTTCTGTCTCACCGGGGTGGCTGCTGTGTGGGGCTGGGGTTCCTGGGGTTCCTGTGGTCCCGGCCCGTCCCAGCTTCCGTGGTCCCCGCTGCATTCCTCCCCCAGCGTCCCCCCCTCCCCGCGCTCAGCTCGCTGCCGCTGCCTCCCCCTCCCAGCCTGCGCTCCTCTCCCCGGCTCCCCCACCCCGCCCGCTGCCTGCTCAGGATTGTGTCCCTGGGATCATGAGCTGTGGCTTAAAATCCCCTCCCTTCCTCTGTTGGATGTGCTTGGTGTGTGTCTCTTTCCCGCGTGTGCGTGAGGATGCTTGGGGATGTGCTGGCATGAACTTGGGCAGGGGTGCCTATTTTCCCCCAGGAAACAGTTTCTGTGTTTTTTCATTCCACTTTCCCCTCCACCTCTTCATACCCTTTATTTTAAAAGGGAGAGGGCTGGGGGCTGGAGTACCGTGAGCAGTAGATTCATTGCTTCCATCATCCTTTTGGAAGCTTAGCTTGGAAAAAGAGGAGTGAGATTTATTGCACTTGTAGGTCTAATTAGGGGGGAAGGGGGGCTTCTGGCCTGTTCACTGGTTCCCTCTCCTCTTCACGGAGCTGGGGCCGCCTCCTCCAGAGCTATGGCCTTGTTTTCACCCCTCTACTTTGAAAGGAAAGTTTGTGACTGAACTGTGCTTTCATAGTAGTGTCATTTTTTTAAAAGCATGATACTCATTTTATTTCTTCATCAAACTCCACCCTCTGCTTAAATACTGCATACAAATTACAATTTACAACGGCATTTACCCATCCTTCTGATTTGGCCATAATGCATAGACTGCAGCTGGCATGAGCTTCCACATCATTTAATCCCTGTTGTATGGTTTTTTAAAAAAACACACACACACACACAACTTTTGATGTTGTATTTGGATATGCTTCATGTTCATGTGGCAAGAGATGCAGCACTTTTCTTATAAATATATTTAGCTGTTTATAGTTAAAGTTTATCTCCTGACAATCATTAAAGATGTCTTATAGTCAAATTAGCGAACCAGTCAATTTTGCAGAATGCAGATTACTCCTTCTTGTAATTGACTTTAAAATTATATTTTATATGCCACAAGAAAAGAAATTGAATTCCTTCAGATTTCAAGGAGCAGGCAAATATGACGACTTCATTTCTAGCTCCAGGGAGATTTTGTAGGCATTTGGAGGGAAAAAAAAAAAAAAAAACTTTGAATTGTGCTCTCATTTAATTGAAAAATAACTGCCAAGTTCAAAACTATAATTAGAAAAAAAGTATTCCAGCCATTATGTTTCAAGTCTTAAATTGCACTGGAACTTGCATTGAAATTAGAATCAAAGCAAACTTAAGAAAATAGTGCACAACCTGAAATAAGGCAGCTACGTGTACATGGACATATCTATATTAATTTGTTGGGGGGAGAGTTCAGTAGCCCTAACTTTTCCTAAAGTTGTCTTTGTTTACTTGGCAATTTAAAACGTTGGCACTGTTGAAGTAAAACATACACATTTAAAAAAAAAAAAAAACTTTGGTCAGCTTTAAGAACTCAAAGCATGCTTACGTTTTGCATTCAGATGGTTAATGAATCCAGTGTTTTTGCAGTTGCAAGCTCGTGCATTCACTGGGCAAAAGCTGGCTGCAGGTTGCAGTGGCACGGAGCAGAACAGACATTAATTATATTTCCCACTTTTTTCAATAATGTTTGGCTACTGTAAGTTCAACTTTTTCTTGAAAATTTTCAATTTTCTGTTGCTTTTAATAGTGAGAACTTTGTATGGGGCGATCGGGAGGAGGGGAGAAGGGAGGTTTACAGGATACTTGTTCTCTACTCAAAAGTTGTAAGTGGTTAGTAAGATATGTAACTTGTATCTATTTTAAGGATAATACTATAGCATTTTAAGAGAATATGGAAACATTTTATGAGCAAAACGCTGCTTGTTTGCAAATGAGGAGGCCGCTAGGCATTTGCCTCCAACCACAGCCTTTCTCAGGTTTCGCCTTTTTTATTTTTTTCTTCTTAACCCTGATTTGCTTCATTCTGGAGGGGTGAATGGGGTTTCATTTATCTGGATGTTCCTCTTTGAAAGCCGTGGGGTTGGATGGTACTTTCTTCCCCTTGCGGAGCTGGGTCCCTGAAGTCAGGCCTAGCTCCGCTGGAGCTGAGATGATCAGGGGCAGCAGGCTATGGCTGGACCCATCGAGTTGCAGAGCTGGAGGGCCTCATCCCAGATCTCCTCGAGGTGTGGGCTGTGAGAACCAGCGGTTTAGATATGCCCGGGAGTGTGTGGCTGCGGGAAAAGCTGCTGCATTGTGTCGGGTGCGCTGCGGCGCGCGATGTTCGCAAGCCCCCTGGATGCACATTGCCTCTTTTCTCTCTTTCTTTTGTCAGCGGTTCAGCGAGGAAGAATGCCTCCAACCCAGCCCAATCCAGGCCAGTACGCACTCACCAACGGGGACCCCCTCAATGGCCACTGCTACCTGTCTGGCTACATCTCGCTGCTGCTGCGCGCCGAACCCTACCCCACGTCGCGCTATGGCAGCCAGTGCATGCAGCCCAACAACATCATGGGCATCGAGAACATCTGCGAGCTGGCCGCGCGCCTGCTCTTCAGCGCCGTCGAGTGGGCCCGCAACATCCCCTTCTTCCCGGATCTGCAGATCACCGACCAGGTGTCCCTACTACGCCTCACCTGGAGCGAGTTGTTCGTGCTCAACGCGGCCCAGTGCTCCATGCCGCTGCACGTGGCGCCGCTGCTGGCCGCCGCCGGCCTGCACGCCTCGCCCATGTCCGCCGACCGCGTCGTGGCCTTCATGGACCACATCCGCATCTTTCAGGAGCAGGTGGAGAAGCTCAAGGCTCTGCACGTCGATTCCGCAGAGTACAGCTGCCTCAAAGCCATCGTGCTGTTCACGTCAGGTGAGGCTGCGGTCGGTCGCCGGGAGGGCAGGCCGCGCCGGGAGGCAGGGCAAGCACCTCGCTGCCGAGGCCTGGCTTCCCGCGTCTCCCGCGCCGCCGAGGCCGCGGCGTGAGGCCGATCGCTCGCCGGACCTTGGGCCTGGCGTAGGTCGGCGGCCCTGGCGCGGGAACTCGGCCGGCCGCGCCGCTGCCATCTTGGGAGCGCGGCAGTGCGGGAGCCGATGCTGCGCGGCTGCGGCCCGCCGGCAGCCAGGCCTAGAGGCCGAGACCCCCGCGTGGATCCGCGACTGCGGTGGGTGTGCACCAGGGAGGAGGGGAGGCTGTGCTGTGGATCGGTCTGGCTGCGCGTGTGTACGGTGTGTAAGTGTGCGTGTGTGTGTATGCGGTGTGTGTGTGTGTGTGTGTGTGTGTGTGAGCCAGAGCTCAGCGTTTCTGTGGGAGGAGAGGGGAGGAAGAGAACGTGGGAATGTGGCTTCCTACTCTGTGTGGCACGTTCCCTGGATGAGTTTCCCGACAGAAAGAGACACACAGAGGTGGAAAGAGAAGAATACACGCAAATAAATCATAAATAATCCTACTTTATTGCTGCCTGATTTTCCCTTATCGGAAACCATTCATGTTTGCAGTTGCTGAGGTTATTGAGGGTCATAAAAACCGGATTCGATCTAAACAAGAAAGATAAAAAACAAAAGCCATACTGTAGAATCCGCAAATAAGAGAGGATTCCGGGCCTGCAGATAAATTTCATAGCTATGCAAAATATACTGAATATTGAAAATTTAAAGTAGTGCCTTGAAAATATCAAATTGAGTGTAGGTGGTGGTAACATGGATGTTAACAATTTCTCTTATGATAGATGGTTCAAATTAACTTCCAGGAAAGTGCATTAACGTTTCCTTTGAAGGGCTCTGGTCTGAGCCTCTGAGAACACTGCCCGCCTTTTATTATTGTAACCTGTAAGAGGGAAACATATAAACACCCTGTACAGCAGGTAATGGGGGGAAATATAAACAAAGCCAGAAAGGAGGCTGGTGGGGAACAGTGTTGCTTAGACTAGGTCTTGGGCCCTGCCCACTGTGAGTAGGAGTAGCTGCAGTTTTATCACCATTGTTGGCACTATTGTTTTTTAATTCCTCCATTCGGAGAACAAATAAACCATTCTAATAAATCTGTCCTAGAGTCGGGCCCTCCAAAGGCCAAATTAAAAACATTCTTGAGCAGAGATGGCAAAACCACTTTCCCAAGGCCTTGTTGAACAGTAAGCAGTGGTAAAATCTATCAATATTTCTTGGCTTTCATGCGTGAAGAATTGTATTTACATTGTATTAAAATGACTCTTAAATTTGCACAATATTGTAATGTAGCAAATGTAGTATTAATATCGATCTGAACAGCAGATAATTTATTTAGACAAGAGTATCTCATTTGTATGCAGGGTGGCCAGAGCCATGGACTTGGACTGCCCCCCTTTTACTTTCAGTGCAAATGCAGGTCTGCTAGTGAGAGGAGTATTCTTTGCAAGAGGATAAAGTGCAAACCTTAAAACAAATGGAAGATTTATTGAATAGCCTCCTTGGTGTTTGAATGCATTTTATCTTAATAAGTCTTCCTGATGGAAACGTGTTTTTCAAAAGTGACAAAGAGCCTGGGAAGCAGCGACCAGGCTGCTTTAGCTCTGGCAGGCATGGGGCCTGGCTGGCTCTCCACTACCCGATTCTTTAGCCAAATTCATCAGGAAGCAAGCCAGTGTCAGGGAAGCTAGGATTTTAAAACCTTATCCAGCGAGGTGTCTTGAAGCATAAATGTGACTTGGAGCTGGACAGAGGTCTTCTCAAGAAAGGTCTTCCCTCCCTTTTCCTTGTTCCCCCAAGATTCTTTGACTCCCCTTGACTCTACTGATCTTATGCCCTTTCCCAGAGAGAGGCAAGGACTGTGCTGGCTGCTGGGAACATTGTGGAATTATTCATGCTTTTCTTTTAAGTTTCCATCTTAAAATATTCCTGTGAAAAGTGTACCATTTTTTTAAAAAGTTTTCCAAAGAAGTTTCTTGAACCAAGTCTTCAAGGTGCAAGGGATGCCTAAAAGTGAACAATTAACAATATTTTGTTGGAAAACTGCAAGGAAAATATCTGAAAATGGAAATAGAGCTGTCAGTAGTAATTCACCCCCCCACCCCCCCATACAAAACATTTCCACTTTTGACTAAACTTGTTTTGATTACCAGCCAGAAGGGAATTCATGGGTAGCCTTCTCAAAGTCATCCAACTTTTAAGCAAACTTTGAATGATGGAAAAGACAGTTTTAGACATATTGTCCAACGTGGTTTGCTCTGGCAAGTATTTGAAGTTGGCACGGGGGGGTCCCCTGTGGTGGTTTTCACATTTGGCCTCCGGATGGTATGTTTAATCCTTAATATTCTGGACAGCATCCAAGGACTAGGTCGTGACCTAAACTTACTTTTTAAAAAAAAAATTCATTAATTCATACACCTAAATATTCCTTCAAATAAATGAGACCATCTCTGAAAGGAGTCATCTAGTTAACATAAATACAATAAATCCATTTTCAGCACAATAATAACTTTGATTTCTAGTTATGGCAGCTGATTACATCTATATTTCCTGAACACTAAACTCTTCTGAATGCACAACATGAAATACATTCTCTGCACTACAAAGGCTAAGCCGGGAGGGCCTGAGCAGTAATGGTTATTTATTTACATAATTTCTTTTCCATACACTGTAGAAGAAATATTGAGGGTTCCCACATTGACACTACCATATAAAAAGTGAGACATGAATTTTGCACAATCCATCTCCTTTTCTTATCTGAAGTATAACTCATGGAGTGTAAATATGTACTGCATTTCACCTCCTGCTTACCTAACTTTTCCACCACAATCCCCCAATTGATGTGAGAGTGCATATCCTCAGCCCACACTTGGAAAAATTCTGTTGCAATGGGGTTAATGAATACCCAGGGTGAGAAGCCAGGTCCAGAATTAGGGCTCCTGCTGTAGGGAGACCACAGGCCCAGCTAGAAGCACCGCATTCCCAAAGAAGGAAAGAAATGGAAACAGAAAGCACAGAGCTCAAGCTTAACTTTCCTGAGCTTCTTTCTTGAAGTGACCTATCTGGGAGTAGGAGCATGACCTTGCACTCTGGGAACCCTACTTGCTAATATCAGATAACTATTTTACTGATCTGAGGGGTTGCCATATGGATCATTAATTTTTTTTTTCTGGGTAGCAATGGTTTCTTTCCATATTGCATTGTTTTGGGCTAAAAGGGATTCATGGCACAATGAAAGATAATACATGTAAAGCAAGATATATGTAAATATGGGTCTGCAGGATGGCCATTCAACTGGATCAGGTAAGCAAGTAGAACCAAGGGCAGAACTCTCTAAATAGTGAAACCCCAAAGAGCTTCTGTCCTGGCCCTGCTGGCCATAAAATCTCACAGGCTTCCCAATTCAAGCCACTGTGGATACATCCAACCAGGTGGCTGGAGTAATTAGACATCTGAAAGGAACCCAGTCTGAATCTGAGGTCAAAGGGGACTTGCCTCAGAAGGTCTTGAATTATTGCTAGTTTTATTTGTATTTTTGCTTGAGGCCATAGCCTTGCCTTGTAGATGAAGGTATTAGAATGCTTTGTAAATCCTAGTTCTTGAAATATAAGGACATAAAGCTTAGAAACTCAGTGGATGCAGGTTTCTCTTTGAATCATTTGTGATGTCTTTTTTAGAGTCACACTTGCCCATTCACAATTATATGGTATCCTTTTGGGGGCATTGCCATACATGTATTTCTTACAGGTCTATATATTAGCAAACTATGTCTTTGATCTCTAGTCAACCTGACTAGCTAAGGGCTCCTCTGTGATCCTCCTATTTCTAAAATATTTATTATTAATGTGAGAAACAACATGAGTATTTGAACTAAGATGGAAGCCTTTATTCTATTCCTCTGATTCCACCTAAACCCTCCATTTCCTTGCCTCAAATTTGTTGATAAAGTATGATCTGCTGTCTTGAAATGTCTTTAGAAGACCAATAAGGGCCTTGATTGGTATGAAATAAGCACACAGATCTTGAAATGTCATCACTGTGCAGAGGTACCTTTTTCTCCTTAGGTCTTACCACAGGAAACCTATCTCCCCCAAGTTTCCCCTTAACTCCCTATTCCCTGATTCTGAACCGGAGCAGCTGCTACTGCCTCTAGCCCAGCTTTGTGTCTGCTCACCAAAGATGTCTCCTTTCTGCAGTCTAGTATAACTGAGCCATATTCCTCTGATTGGTATACAGCTTAAAGATGTGACCAATTTTCAATTACTTGATCTAAGGCATAGATAGAAGTGTACACTCTCATGGAGGATTTGCTGCAGAGTCTTTGCTTGCATAGATAGTGGATCTCAAATCCTATATTGCTAAAGCATGAGCTTGATCTGATTCTAGGCACTGCCAGCCCATGATTCCTTACCTGGCCCCCTACACCCACGTTCAGTACATAATTTAGGTTCTCCTTGAGCTTTCTAGTTGGGGTCATTTGGTTTTGAGAGGGGACTCTAAGAAGCCTTTGAGAACTGCCTCCAGGCCATATACTTTTTCAGGGGTCCTGAACACCCCCAAATTAGGGGCAAAATGGGGAAAGTCTTCCCTTTAATGAGCACAGCCAGAAGGATGCTCCCCTGCAGGCAAGGACAGGTTGCTACATACAGCAAACATGGCTCCAGCATCGTACATTATTTAATCCAAAGTGAAAGGGGAAAAACAAAGAGTCTAGAGAGGTTGCTGCCTCTGCATGAGTGTGCATCTCTCTCCAACACCCCTCTGCTACAGTGGGATTATGATTTATTTTTATTTGTATCTGGAAATGAATGGTGAAGAAGAGAGTGGGGAGGTATGAGGGGAAGATTTCTCTTTTTTTCTTTTTCTTCCTTATTTCATTCTCTTTAAAAAATTAATGGCTTGTTGTTTGTGCCTTTGCTGCTCTCCAGCTAACCATGTGCCCCCTCTCCCTGTCTCTCCCTCCTGTGGCTGCTCTGGCAGATGCCTGTGGCCTGTCGGATGCCGCCCACATCGAAAGCCTGCAGGAGAAATCACAATGCGCACTGGAGGAATATGTGAGGAGCCAGTACCCCAACCAGCCCAGCCGCTTCGGCAAACTGCTGCTGCGACTGCCCTCGCTGCGCACCGTGTCTTCCTCTGTCATCGAGCAGCTCTTCTTCGTCCGTTTGGTAGGTAAAACCCCTATTGAAACTCTCATCCGAGATATGTTACTTTCTGGGAGCAGCTTCAACTGGCCTTACATGTCCATCCAGTGCTCCTAGACCTTGGGCGCTTCCTGCCTGCCCCTGCCCCCACTAGAAACTCAGAGGACTCATCCGGGCCAAGGACTCCAACGCCTCGGGGACTCTCCGGGTGTGGAGGACCAGGCAGGCCAGGCAGACCAGGCAGGGGAAGGAATGCTGGGGACAGGAGCAGCCCACCCTGCAGAAATGCAACTGGAGCTGCAAACCAGGAGAAAAAGAAACTCTTTTAGGATCAGATCTATAAGCACGTTGCAAAGGAAAGAAAAAAGGATCTTATGTCTGGTGAGAAAATGAAAACATTTTTTGGAAGAGAGGACCATAAGAATTTTAATAAAACAGAAGGAGACCAATGGACCTTCCAGGATTTATTGTGGACGGATGTGGATATATTCTGTACAGAAAAACAACACATATGGAAATGGACTGAATCCTATGTAGAAACACACCACACACACACACACACACACACACACACACACTGAACATTGTTATTCATTTTGTAAAATACTAGTCTTTATTTTCATTTTTTTGTAAAATTTAAACATCGTATGCGCATAAAGAAAAAAGGAAACAAGAATTAGGGGAAAATAACATTTTCCAAATAATTATAAAAAATTTGTCCTGTGTCTATGTATCTATATCTGTTTTGTATTTTTTTCTGGTTCCAAACCAGATTTCCTGTGATTCTATACTAATAATTTTTGATATAACCCTTTGCTTCTTATAATGAGTGCGATATATGTTGTCGAGGCTGTTCTTCAAGAATTAAAATTGAAGTGAAAATTTAAACAAAAATAAAAGAATTTAGCAAAACCCATGTGTGTGATTGTTTGGCCAATGTCATCAGTACAAGAGAACCCCCTGGTTAATTTCCAGCTCAATTATTACCAGAATTGGGGAAGTAGGAAAATTTATGGTCCAATACCAAGTTGACTACATTCATTTCCTAAAACTAGCCACTGTCTTGGTTTTGTAAATGTGAAGGTCTGGGCTCTATAAAGGCTGGAGTCCTCAAGCAGGATAGGGTGCCTTGATGGAGGACAAGAGTGGTTGCGACTGTGTGAACTGAAGGTAGCCCTGTATGCATCTGGGTAGAGAAGTGGAGCAAACTGGGTCTGAGTTAGGCACTGGGGCTAAGTCTGTAGGCACCAAGAACCAGGCACAGTCTGCTTCAGTGACCCAGTGGCAGCACCTGGGTTCTCACTGCAGGTGGGAACTTGCTGAGTTGAAGAGGTTTGCAAGAAACATGTGGAGTGATATATAAGCAGAGCAGAAAAGAAAAAGGTGCCCAGATGCCTCTGTGAGCCCTGGGCTTATATGTGCAGGCAAGTGGCTGGTGTGTGTGTGTGGGGGGGTGTTCCACTTCTCCCCAGCTCTAGGATATTGTCAGGCCCTCTACATCAGAGTTCTGACTTTGAACCTCTGAAGATCTGACGGTGATTACCCTTTCCTTCCAGACCCTATGATGAGGGCTCCTAAGATGGTCTGGAAATCTGGTGGGTGGACTGAAGGGTACCCTGCTCCTGTGGCTTTTAGTAGGGTGCTGACCCAAAACCTAGGAGTTGGGAGTTAAACTGGAGGAGTTCTTCCCAGAAGGCATTTGGACCCTTATGGCTCTTTGAGGGCAGAAGCCTCCCCTTGAGGCCTCTAGTTGGGTGTGCGTGGGGGACAGCTCTCTGTAACAGCTTTCGGAGCATGAATGTTTTATAGGATCTGAGCTAGAGCTGTGAGAACACATACTGCCAAGGGAGCTCTTTCTTAGCGTATTAATAAAGCCAGATCTTCAAAAATAACACCTCTCACCCTCCCCCTCCCCCCAGCCCCAGACAGGCCTGTATGAGGCAAGAGCTTCACTTTCAGAAATCACTGGCAATGTTTTGCTTTCAATTTGCTATCTAGAAGTCTCCAGGTGCTACCCCCAAAAATGCATTAACAAGCTCCTGTACTCCAACCCACTTGAGGTTTTTAATATTCTGAGTGCAACACAGCATGGGCAGTGCCTAGCTCACTGTGGAGAAACCACTGTAGGTTCAAGATCAGAAACCAGGCTGCCTGGGGACCACTCGAGGTAGGACAGCAGGGTGCAGAGCACTGGAGCAGCCAGAATTACTCCCTGGAGAGATCCTCTGCACCACACCCAAGGACTTCTTTGGGCCAAGATGAATTCCTTGCAGGTTGGACACCTAAGGCAGGAGGGAATGAGGAGAGCTAATATAATTCCTGATCACCTTCCAGGAGGTATTAGGAACCCATTCCAGCTGCCTAAGGGCAGCATGTGGGGATAGGGGTGGGGTAAGCTGCAGTTAGGGTGCCCAGGTGTTGGGGAAGCCAGCAGCCTCAGAGAGCTCACGATCTTTCCTGCCTTTCTTGAAATGAGATGTAAATATATTCATTACAATGTGATCCCTCTAATGAAAACAGATAAACATTTTCATAGGTCAGAAACGTACTTTACAATTAATTTCAACATCGAGGCCCAAGGACAAGGCACCCAGTGCGTTGTGCTAGGATTTTGTTCCAGTGTTCAGAGGTAATAGTGGTGACTTGACTTTTGCTCACAGGGTCCAGAGTTACTCAAGGCCTGGGAAATCCTGGCCACCTTTCTAAGCCTGGGCCCAAGCTGAGATTAAAATCAACCGGCACAGCCCAGGGAGAAGCAGGTTTTCCTATGGCCTCATAGACTCCCTTGGGTTCCTAGAGGAGCCACGGAGCCTCGGGGTTGTGGGGAAACCAAGAGAAAGGAGTTTCCACATACTCCTCACCTATTTGGAGGCTGGGGCTGTGGGTTTCTCCTGTTATCTCCTGGGTGGCTAGGGTGGCGCTGGCCTGCATTACGCACAGAGTCGTCTTTGCACAATCAGAGCTTCCAGGGACTCCGGAGTCATTGATTAGTCCTGCTGGGACCAACAGGCTGCCCAAAGGCTTTCCATTCTCACAGTGTAGAAAGGACTCAAGAATCAACTTGCGCTAAGGGACAGTTTAGAAACCAAGACGGCAGCATCTAAACCGTGGGTTGAACCTTGTGACAGCCGAAAAGGTCCTTCTGTTCCCGGCAATCTAAAATATCCCTCCTCCTCTTTACTGCGTCTCAGGGGATGAGGGATGAGGGTTGAGCGGCCGAGCAGCCCGAGGTCTCAGAGTGCGAATCGAAGCGGCAGGCTCCAGTTGCGACCCGGCTGCCCCGGTTCCACGTACAGGGATTTCTCAGGCCTTGGTTGCCGCGATGTCTCAGACCCTAAGAGGAGGTGAGGTGGAGCAGACGCAGGCTTCCTCCGCCTGGGTGGCCGCCAGGAGGCTCCTGAGTACTGAGACCGCCTTCATGCCATGCGCCAGGGGGAGCCGTGGAACTCTGGTGTAAGGCTGCAGGCAGGTGTAGACCAGACTGTTGTCATGGAGCATGTAGCCCTACCTCAGCCTGTCAAAGCTGTCTCAAGTCCTAAAGGATCAGAAGAGTAGAGCTGAGCTAACTTGTCCAAGTAGGACCAAGAAGTTCCCCAGGTCCAGAGGAAATATGTCTTATCACATAAGGTGATTTCCCTCGTGAAATTAACTTTTACCTAGGAAAAGTTAACTTTTTTTTCTTTTCTAATCCGAACACTTGCTGGACAGCTGAGAACTTCATCAACATTGAAGTCAGTTTAAACTACTTTTAGCCATAATCTTTGCCTAAAACATCTGAAAAGCTATATCCCAGGATGTGCTCTCCTCAGGGAATCTCTAGGGAAGAAGACCGCGCCTTTTCTGCACGGGGGTATAAGGTATGGCTCTGAGGATGAAAAGTAAGGCCTCTGCTGACCCCCTTGCTCCACGTTCCAATCTGGGACCAGGCTAGGTGAAAGGAATACTAGAGAGGAAGATGCGGTCCCTGTCATGCTTCCGGGACTCCACCCCTCCGGTTGTGGCGGACTCTTGGTCTCTGGCAACAGCAACGGGTCTTTGTAGGGTCTGGGAGACCTCATCGTTCAGCTTTGCCCTCAGGGCTGCTGGGAACTGGATCCCCGAGGTTCCCGGCCCACCTGAGATTTTGCACACTCTAGATGTGCAAAAAATAGTTATTTTTTTAAAATATTCTTTCTCCTCTTATTCCACCGGTAGGCATTTTTTTTATATCTCCTACAGTGACTGAATCGCCTCCCGTCAGTTCCTGGATTCCTCAGAACAAATCATCAATGTCTCTGCAAATAGGAGACCATGAGGAGCGTGAGGAGGGAGTGGAGGGGGACACAAGTGGGAACTAATAAAACTCTTGTTAAAGGGCCTGCTCAGGATCCATGGCGTCACTGGGCCTTTTACTTGCGAAGCCAAAGAGTTGTATTCCTAAATGAGTTAAAGACCCATTTACCTCTGTCGTGTTCTATTCATCAAGCCACAAGTTGAGAGTTCCTAACATGAAACTATTTGTTTGCTTACACAACCAGCTGGGCGCAATTTCACGTCTGAGATATCTATCTGAAAGCGCCTCTCATTTATTATCTCTCCTTGTCAGCGAATCCATTTTCCAGCTTCCCCTCCCCCCTTTGGAGTTTATTTATTTATTTATTGTGGGATTTCTTTGCCTGGGAAGACCCGGGACTGGAATACTCCCCGGGGAGTTGTGGCTCCCTGTGCGGGGTCCGCTGCGCCAGGGCGCATGGGTCTGTGAGCAATAGAAGCTTGTACGCTGCCAGAGCTGACCCCGACTGGCCTCGACTGGCCGGCAAGCAAGGGTGTGGCGTAGGTGGCGGGTGGGCCTGGCCGAACAGTGCAGAACTGTCTTTCTCCTTGGATGTCCCCCCTGCTCGCTCGCTCCCAGTGAAAACTTAAACCACCTGTGCGAAGAGTGGACCTTGAGGGGGGACGGTGGGGGGAGCGAGAGGTGAACCCAGGAGTCTTTCCCCGAGATGGGGGCCCGAGATTCGGATTTGAGATATGCTGTTCACAAAGCCTCACCTAGTCCCACGGGGCCAATTTCTTCTCCCAGGGTCTGAGCACAGAGTGAGTAACCAAGATGTAAATAGTTACGTGATGGGTTGGGGGAGGGGGCAGTGCATTTATTGTGTGTGTGGAGGAGAGAAGGCGCTGCACGTGGTTTCAATTTTGAAGCACAAAGAAATAACATGCAATGCAGAAAATAGGTTTATGAATGTAATTGAGAGGAAAGAAAACAATTAACACGGTGCAAGGTTGCAACTCGGTTCCCCACCCCTTGCTTTCCCTCCTACCCCAATTTTGAGAAATCCGGATCATGTGAATAGAGTGGGTCTGAGTAGTTAGATCCCGCTGACAAGGGAACCCCTGATGGGAATCTCAGTGATAGC